TTTTTTTTTTTTTTTTTTTGACCAGGGATTGAACTTGGGATCTTGAACTTTTGAGGCAGGAGGCAGAACCACTGAACCACTGAGCTAATCCCTGGCCCCCAGTTGGTTCATTATTCATGGATGCTGTGTTAGTTTCTTGGGGGGAGTAGAGCATATGGCTGGTGCTCAGTGCCCAGGCAGGAGGGTGAAGGTTTTGTACCAGAGTGGCACCTGTTGGTTTTCCCTGAAAAGGACTGCCACTGTCTGGCCTCTAAAGCTAGCCTGGGGAGCCAGATCACTGCTCCAATTGGCCCAATGACAATTCAATGATGTTCCATGGAATGGCTGCAGTCACCTGGCTGGGATGGGCTGACAGGTGTTCTGGGCCCTTCAGCTCATATAGAGGCCCCTCCTCCTAGGTTCTACCACTGGGGTGTTGACCCTCTGGATCTAGGGTGTCCAAGGACAGCATCTTTGGGGCTGGATCTGTGTCTAGCATAGAATCTGGGCTTTTAGATGACATAAAAAGTAGGCCTACTTACAGCTCCCAAGTCAAAAGAGTCTGGCCTCTCAGAATCTTAGCATCTGTTCCCACTGTGACTAAATTCTGTCCCAAGTGGCATCATCAGAGAAGTGCTTACTGTAGGATTCCTGTACTCTGAGCTATGGAAGAGACCAGAAAGGACCCTCATGTTCAGAGGGCAGCATGTAGGAGAGCACTCACATGTCCACTCGTTCCTCAGTCCTGAAGTAGGGACAGAGGGCTGAGAGCTCCCCTCTCCCCAGGGAGGAGCTGCAGTCGGTGCAGCGTGAGCTGGAGGTCCTCTCAGAGCAGTACTCGCAGAAGTGCCTGGAGAATGCTCACCTGGCTCAGGCACTGGAGGCTGAGCGGCAGGCCCTGCGGCAGTGCCAGCGTGAGAACCAGGAGCTCAACGCCCACAACCAGGTGAGCCCAAGGGCAGGTGAATCCACAGTTGGCCATGTGAGGCTGAGCTGGGGCTAAGCCTCACCCTCAATACCCTGAGGGCCTCTGAGCTGTGGAGTGTCTGACAGCTCTTGGTGTGTTGCTAGAAACTTACTACAGGTGACCAAAGAGGCTGCCCTGTACATATCTAACTGTTGGAACCTGGGGTCATTCTTGCTTCAGCCCTTTCTGAGACAAAAGTCTAATGGTTCTGTGAATCTCTCACTCATTGCTTGTAAGGCCTGGGTGCTTACCCCTGAGAGTCAGGATCTCTCTTAGAATCTGCTGCTCAGGAAGTTCAGGTGCATTTGAATCCTGGCTAGCCAGCAGGTTGGGTTAATGACATGGGGTTTGGTATGAGCCCTCTGTGGTGCCTCAGGACAGGGTGTGACATTGCTCAGGTGGACCAGGTCCACCTAACCACTGGAGTCATCTGGAGAGAAGGTCCAGAAAGGGGGTGTGGGGTGGGGGGTGGGTAGGCAGCAGTGTGGCCAAGTCCTGTAGAAACCTAAATGGGACAAACTGAAGCAAGCACATGCTGTTAGTCATAACAGAAAAACATAGGAATTGCGGCGTCCTCACATCACTCTACAGATACTGACAGCCCTGTGTCTACGGGTTCTGCATCTACAGTTTAAACCTACTCAATTGGAAAATATTCACAAAAATAATTTCGTCTACACTGAATATTACACACTCTTTTTCCCATGTCATTATACCCTAAACAATACAGTACAATACTACACGTGGCACTGGCATTATTTTGAGTACGACAGTGATCTAGCGATGACTTAAAGTAAATGGAAGGATATGTGCAGGCTATACACCAGTGCTATGCCACTTGATATAAGGCACTGGACAGTCCATGAAGTTTGGTACCTTCACGGGGTTCTGTAGTACAAGCCTGAGACACTCTGCTCATAGGCTCATAGGCTTAAGTATTGCATAATGTTAGTGGGAAATAATCTTTCTAAGTTGTATTCTGTTTGACTCTGAGACACATATTTTAGGGTGTCTCATATTTTGTTGCTATCTCCCAGGAACTGAATAACCGCCTAGCTGCAGAGATCACACGGTTACGGACACTACTGACCAGAGACGGCGATGGGGAAGCTGCTGGGTCACCCCTCACACAGGGCAAAGACGCCTACGAGCTAGAGGTACTGCCACAAGCCAGGCTTGCCCTCCTCAACTCTGCCACACAGGAGTCCCACGGGAAGCAAGACAAGCCCTTAGATTACAATAACATTGAAGGGACACGACTTGAAGATAGATAGAGGCTGGAGTTGTAGCTGGGTGGAAAAATGCTGGCCTAGTATGTTCAAAATTCTGGGTTGCATCTCCAGCACCACAAAGATATAAAGTGCTAGGAGAAATCCCAAAATTACCCAAGATGATAAGAAAACAAGTTAGCTGCCAGGCAGCCTGAAGTCCACAGGCGGAAGCAGGGAGCCCCTCAAAAGGCCATGGGGATCTTAACCCCATCCCTTCTTCCACCTGCCTGCCAGCCCCAACCCCATTTCTAGCACACCCCAAACACTGAATCTGTAACATTGACCCATTGCTTAGCTATGTGAATTCTGCAGCTGCTCAAGGATTATTACATTACTACTTTTCAGGATCAGAGCAAGTTCATGTATAAAGTGATTCTAGTGTATAAGCTGTCCTTTTTGAAAGGCATATAGATTTCTCCCCATTAGATTAGTTTCATCTTAAAAATGATTCACCAATGAGTACTTTACTGATAAAATAGGAAAAAGCTGAATCAATTTGACCAAAGTGTGTATAGCATTTTCTAAACCTTGATGGCTCCATCTCAGGAGAGCATCAAATTGCCAGTGGCAGCTCATCATGACCCCTAGACTGATGCAGGGGTTCTCAGGACTAGGAAGCATGGTACCAATTTTTCCTCTTCCTTTCTGTTTCTATCTGTAATGTGGAAGTGTTGAGCGTTATTGAAATTATATTTCCAGCTGGACATTGCAAAGGGGCACACAGCTGTTGCTCCCTACTATAGTGGAGGGTGGAGGCTGTTTGATTGCTTTAGTCTGTGCTCCTGAGATGCTGGAGGTTCCTCAACTCCCTAATTTCTCTCCCATTGTAGGTCTTGTTGCGGGTCAAGGAGTCGGAAATACAGTATCTGAAACAGGAGATCAGCTCTCTGAAGGATGAGCTCCAGACAGCACTGAGGGTAAGGGGTAGGCTGTAGGCCCTGTTGCTTCATGCTGGCTGCTCTAGAGTAGATGCTGTGGAAATGGGTGACCCAAAGGCTGGCCATATGGTCCTCATTACATGTGTTTCCTGTGTGGGTTGGTGGGAATGATGGCACCCAGAGGAGGGTCCTGGGTACACTGCAACTCTTGACTTGCCATTCAGATCAGGTCTCACCTATCTCCTCCAGGTGGTTCCTGGGATGATGAAAGGAGGTGATAGAATCCTTGGTAGCCATCTAGTCACTTAGAAAAAAAAAAGGTAGTGGGGGTTATACTAGCTGGAGCCCATAAGGAAAGGTGCTAGGCAAATCAAAGTCACATAGGCAGCTGGCCCTGTATTCCTGTTTGCACTGGGTCCAGAATTCTAGTACCATATACAGTCAGAGAATCTGCCATGCCCATGTCCACAAGCTGTGTTTGTTTTGTATTATGCCACATATTCTTGCCTAAGGCCTGGCCCCGAGCCACAGCCAGTTCTACAGTTCTAAGTACTACAGTTCTAAGGATGGACAGGCCTCCTTCCCTGTTTGTATCTACTGTTTGCTTCTGTCCCATTGTTTCTAGGATAAGAAGTATGCTAGTGACAAGTACAAAGACATTTACACAGAGCTCAGCATCGCCAAGGCCAAGGCAGACTGTGATATCAGCAGGTTGAGAGAGCAGCTGAAAGCAGCTACAGAAGCACTAGGGGAAAAATCCCCTGAGAGCACTACTGTGGCAGGATATGGTAAGTACTTTGGGTGATACTTACAGAGCTTTCTTGGTGTTCTACTCAGAACCAAGGCACCAAGTACCTACTTCTGGCCACAGCTCTGAGGAAAAGCTGCTCTGCACACACACAATATACCTGGCTTTGTTTTTCTGTTTGCCTAAAAATCCCAGCAGCTGGGGGAAAACTCTTGTTAGAAACTTGATCACAGGGTTTTACTATAAAACCTGTTTTGGCCTCTGGTGAAGCAGGAGAGGAAACTTCCACCTCCTTCAGTAAATAGTGGGACTGACCCTTTTTGTTATTGGCTAAAATCATTCAAGTACTCATGAAAGATCACAGGGAGGCTGAGGAGCCATCTTGTCAAGCCCTTTGATTTGATGAATCCAAGACTCCACCTGACTTTCATGTTGACTTTTTTTTCCATGCTGGAGATGGAACCCAGAAACTCAGACCTGCTAGGCAAGCAGTCCACCTCTAAGCTATAAAACCCTAGCCTACCCCCTCCCTTTAAATTTTGAGACAGGATCTTGCTCAGTTTCCCAGGCTGGCCTCAAATTTGCAGTGCACCTGCATCAGCCTCCCAAGTAGCTGGGATTATAGACAGGCATGCACCACCACACTCAGCTCATGTTGACTTTTTAAAAAGACCCACAGGTGTGAGAAAAGCTGTTTAAGCTCCCTAATAGTCAAAATATTCAATTTTCTCTGTCAGCTAAACAAAGAATAGTGGCAGTAGCAGTATTGACACGTACTTGGAGGAAAAGTCTTGCACATTGCTGATGGGAATACAAATTAGCACTCTTTCTGCAGGCACTATGCAGCAAATTTAAAATCATACTACAGACCAACTCTAAAGAGGTAACCACTGTTACCTCTGAGGTAACTTCTGAGGAGAACCGAGGCATCCAGGACAAAGTGAGAAAGGAAAACCTAGAATTATGGGGAAATGTGAATGCTTTTGACCTATCAGATGACTTTGGAAAAAAACAGTTGCATAGAAAGGAGCAAACAGGTTATTAAGCATTCGTATACAAGAGCTGAAAGTAGCATTCCATCATAGGACACACGCTGAGGACTGGAGCTGCAGCACAGCACACACTGGGTTGTGGATGGTCAGCAGTTCTTCAGAAACGCCAGATAGATGTTTTTCTTTTGACATCGAAAAAAATCCATAAACATGTTAAATTAAAAAAAAAAACAAAACATACTTCAGATGGTAGCTCAGTGGTAGAGTACATGTCTAATATGTGCAGGACTTTGGGTTCATCCCTAGAAGCTCAAAAAAAGTTCAACCAAACCCCACATGCATGGGACACAGAGTGTGGTGTGTCCTGTGTGTGTCTGCTCATTGGTGTTGAGGCAGATTGTCAGGGAAGCTTAAAAGATGTAGGATAGGATTTGGTCTCGCCTTGTTTTATGGCAGTCCCCAGTCATCAGGAAGTAGCTGGGAACGAGTGGATTATAGGGCCACTTGGTCTGCTCAGCTGCTGTAGTCCAACAGAGGAGCAAGAGATCTAGCACCCTGCTGAGAGAGCGAGCGCAGTCACACAGTTGAATCCCTGTTGAGGACCACATAGATGTTCCCAAAGCTCTGATGCTTTGCAGTGTTCTGAAAAATACCTGATTATTGGCTTTGAGTTCCCTTAGAGCCACTGAAAGAGATATAAGGCACTACAGTAGGATTTCAGAAGCCTTTAACATTGTCTTGTTCCAAAGAGTTTTGTTTTGTTTTGTTTTGTTTTTCATTTGCGGGTGGCGGGTATTGAGGACCAAACTTGGCCCTTGCGCTTCAGGCGGTGGAGCCAATTCCCCAGCCCCAGAGAGTTTTATAAAGCAAAGAAAATGGATCTTTTTGTTCCTTCAGACATAATGAAATCTAAAAGCAACCCTGACTTTCTGAAGAAAGACAGATCCTGTGTCACCCGGCAACTCAGAAATATTAGGTCCAAGGTGAGTTGGGTCTGGCCTCTGGTGGGTGAGTCTCCAGGACAATGGAGGGGGTGGTGAGAATCAAGGCCGAGGTTAATCCTACCACACAAAGTGACAGAGTCCCTAGGTCCTGCCCCCAGCCCACCCTGCTGGACTGTGAGAGCTGTTGGGTCCTTCACCTCTAAAGCCAGGTTCTCCCTGCCCATTTGTATCAGTCATTGTCTGTATTGTCTTTGCACATCCCTGTTGTAGTATGAACACCACCTGCCTTCCAGAGACCAAGCTGCCTGCTCAATTCCCAGCCACACAGTAGCCAGCTCCCATGCCTCCCCAGAGTGGGTGTGCCTCTCCACAGGCAGGATGAGTACAGGGGGTGTGGCCACCATGTTGCATTTAGGATTGATTGTGTATGTGTCTTATTTTTGCTCTTTCCTCTGACAGTCCGTAATTGAGCAGGTCTCATGGGATAACTGACTCGCACCCGCTTCCCGGTCCCCTGTCGTGTAGGTAAACTGCCTCTTACCACCATCCACCTGCCCGCACACGCAGGATGGCTCTCTGCATGTACTACTCACACCTCCATAGCACATGCCTGTGTTATTTGTTATTTTATTTTAATTCATCCTACTCCAGCAAGCACATAGAAATCCCTGTGAGGTTCTATAATCTGTCCTCAGAGTTGACTGGCACTCTAACCTCTTGAGCTGATCCTTGTCCAGGGCACTCTCCTAGCTTGCTGGGGGCCCTTAGAGCCAGCTCTGTGCAGGCAGGGTGTCATGCATGCTGGGTAATCTGTGCATGGTGATTAGCTCACACCACCCACGCTGAGAAACAAGTCTGTCTTGTCCTCTGTAAAGAGGTAGGTGTGACAGAAACCCGCTGCCCTGGGCCAGCCAAGTCTGACCTCACCAAAGATCTCACCCACTAGTTAGCAAGCCACGCCACCCAGGAGCCTTCCTGAAAAGGGAGCAGGTACCTGCTGCCCTGGTTTCCTTACAACCCTTCTCAGACTCAGTGTCTTCCAGGGCTCTGGGTCAGTCATCCAAAGAACTAGTCAACACATTGTGGTCTGTGCTTGGTTGCTCCAGTCAGGATCTGCCAGCACTTCTTAAAAAAACACACAAAGCTGCCTCACCGTCTCATAAGGAGATTACTGTCCTGGCCAAAAGGGAGGACGTAGCTGCTTATGAATAGGAGGGGATACTGTATCCCTTGAGCATGTGTGGCTGCTGGTACAGCAGGTTTGACTGCTCCTACCTAGTGAAGAGGAGGAGTAGGTCAGGGATGCTGGCCTGCCTTGGATCCTGCTGGCCACAGCACAGGCTTCTGCTGTATACAAACCCACCCACCTTCTAGGGCATCCTGGTGGTCCAGAGATGTTAGCCTGAGGTATTTGCCTTAGGTAGAGTACTAAGAAAATACAAAAGGTTTTTACCTAGTTAAGTTTGGTTTTGCTTACTTACCCTTGTCCCAAGCCACTTACATTCAAATATGATTTAGGCTAGATAGAAAGCAGTTTGGGATTTTTGTCCTTAAACATGAAAAATGTTTTGTTTAGCAAAAGGAAACTTGTTTTTGGTGTGTGGTATTCTCGTTAAAGATCCCATTTACTGAAGCTGAACTCCAGCTGCTATCTGCAGGCCTTTCCTGAGTGCATTTGGAGTTCACTGAGTGAGTTGGGCCTTTGGATCAGTGTAGCAATGCTAAGCCTAGAAATGACAGTCAGGGAGGGAGGCAGTTTCTGCAGAACCTAGAAGCAGCAGTACTGCAGGGGTGCCCAGTTCATGTGAGTTCCTACAGGACATGCAAACAAATAGGGCTGAACAGCAGGGACCTTGGTGATACGGCATTAGTGTGGTGGGCCAGTGGCTGGGAGCCTGTGCACTAGCTGGGAAATTGCTACGCAAAGGTAGGACGAGGAGACCTGAGAGCCAGGAGAGGAGCAAGACCGAAGATCTGGATTGTTAACCAGGGTCTTCTCAGTTATCTTATGTGACAAGATCTTGGTATATACCCTCAGTGTGCAGAACAGTCCTGTGGGCCCCAACAGAAAGATGGGGACTTTACAGGCATCCTTGGGGACACCACAGTATGGGGGCAGGGCTGGAGCTAGCCCGTAGCAGGGTATGTCACCGTGTTTCTGAGGGCATTTGGAGCCTCCCTCCAACCCCTTGAAAAGACATGAATGAAGTTGGCCAGAAACTGAACCTCTCATTGGAGCTTGTTGATAATGTCCTTTCCTGTGTACTGATTAGTGTTGTTTATGTCTGTTGTTTTTATTTCCTTCTTCATACAAAAGGAAAAACAGTCCCAACACCCATAAATCACAGCAGGCTAGTTGCTTTCACAGCAGCACAGCCTTTTGAAGGATCAAAAGCAGAGTATTGTTGTGCCAGGGATTTAGCTCAGTGGTTCCACTGCCTGCCTCACAAGTGCAAAGACCCAAGCTCGATCCCTGGTACCCTGCCAAAAAAATGCAGAGTATTGTCCCCTTGGGGATCTTATGGGAACTCTATGTCTATGGTCTGTGGCTGGGGAAGGGGACAAGCCCAAAAGGCAGTTGGCTGCACCCCAAGCCCCATAAGGAGCAGTCCCTGGGGTAGTCCTGTATTTAGGCTGAGCTACAATCAGAAAGGAGCCAGAGGCTTTAGAGGGAGAGACAGTCCCTGAGGGAAAGGGGAATGCAGGGTCTTTGCCTGCTGTCTGCTCTTCTATCTAGGTAAGCATGGCCTCACCTGAGCTCCCTCAGCCCAGTTCTGCAGGATGGAAGGCAGGGGACCCTGTGGGCCATGCAGGACCTGCTGTAGTTTGGCTGTGTCACATGGGGCCTTCTTTGTGGTACACACAGGGGCAGTCCCAGAAGCCTGGATACCTACAGTTCAAACAGGTCTCAGCAACAGCTGGGTCACTGAAGTCCTGGAGGAAGTTCCCAGCTGGAATGTAGTAGGGGTGGCAGTGCTAAGAACCCACCAGCTGTCCTACAGGAGCAGTTAGTACAGGCCACCTGTCTAGGTGGTGACTAGATGTCTGCCCAGTATCTTATAGGAACCTGGCTGCTGCTGGCACCTAGGCTTAGGCAGAATGACCTTGAGGATACCTTGAAGCCAGTCTGTTTATTCACTCACTCTCACACACACACACACACACACACACACACCTAGGCTTAGGCAGAATGACTTTGAGGATACCTTGAAGCCAGTCTGTTTATTCACACACACACACAGACACACACACACACAGACACACACACACACAGACACACACACACACAGACACACACACACACAGACACACACACACACAGACACACACACACACAGACACACACACACACAGACACACACACACACAGACACACACACACACATAGGCTTAGGCAGAATGACTTTGAGGATACCTTGAAGCCAGTCTGTTTATTCACACACACACACACACACACACACACACACACACACACACACACACACACACCTCCCAGTATGCACAACAGATACTCAGTGCTATGTGAAGCTGTCCCCAGATCTCAGGAAGCACTAGGCTTACGCTGCCCAGCAGGCAGCTGGGCTTTGCAGGTCCCACTTGATGGGGCCCAATGGTCACTTCAGAGTGCAAAGAATTGTGGCTAAAACTGCTAACAGTCCTGTAGATGCAGAGCCAGAGGCCGCCCTCGAGGTGTCCATTTGCTAGTAAAACCTGTGCCTGTCAGCTGTGCTGTAAATGAGCCCCACAGAGTCTCCAGGCCAATCCAGTGCTGACACATACTGCATTGGGAAAGGTGGCAGCTGAGGAACCAGGGCTGGCCATGAGATGGCCAGAATCCATGCATTTCTGGCCTTGAAAAGCAGTGCTTCTTTTGCAGACATGAAGTCTGGGGAAAATCTCTTAATAAGAGTCAAGTGTGAAGTATCCTGTCCCCCAGCTAGTAGAATGTTCACCATCTTGGGATATGAGCAGAGCATCAGTCCTACACCAGTGTGTTCTGATTCTCCAGCATCTAGCGGTCCACTCAGGGATCATTGAAGGGTGTTCATAGCACTAGGGAAGCAGGGCAGTCATCCTGAAGTTGTTTGGGTTCCTAAGCTCAAAGGAACCAGCTACTCACAAATCATATGCAGGAAGAGAGGCATAGCTGGGCAGGCATCTAGTTCTTAGGACTTTTTTGTCCTGGCTGGGTCAGTCTGATCACCACTTGTCTAAAGAGTCCTGAGTCTAGAATTGAGTTACTTAAAACATGCAATCTTATTTCTCTAATTTTTTCCCCTTTTTCATCCAAATAAGTTGCTTTAGGGGGAATCATATTCCAATAACACCATTTCAGAGTGTTTCTTGTCCTAGCATGCCCACTAATCTCCAGAGCCCACCCTCCTCACTCCTCCTCTGCCTCTGCCTCCACCCACCCCCGTGATGGAACCCCATGTCTGCCCCGCCTGGCTCTAACCTTCCTTTCTTTTCTCTGCCCAGAGTCTGAAGGAAGGCCTGACAGTGCAGGAACGGCTGAAGCTCTTTGAATCCAGGGACTTGAAGAAAGACTAGCTGTATCCCGTGCTACTCAACACACCCTTCCTGACTGGTGGCAGCACAACCTGAGCGCAGCTTTTTGTCTGTACCTTTATTTTTATCATTGTTGTTATTATTATTAACTGTAGGTATGGATACATGAGAGACTGGTGTATGGGTTGTCCGCACCATTCCAGCTTCCTTTTGTGTTTGTCACCACTTTCTTCCCATGGTTTTCTGAGATTGGTCAAGCTCCAGCCGTGTGGTGATGCAGCACCTGCCCACATCTGAGTAGAGCCCTTCTCAATATCCACTGCACCCACTGTCAGTATTAAGGCTCAGCAGCCTGTCAATAAGCTAGCCCAGTGTCAGAGTGCAGTGTGGAGGTCTGGCCTATACTCCAGCTCTGCTGCTCACCGGGCACCACCAGGTGGGCACAATCCCTGTTGGTCAGAGAAGAGCCACCTTGATGTTCTGGTTTGACCTGTGCAATGGTGCAGGTGACTTGCCTGCCTGGTTGCTGGAGGAGGCAGCGATCCAGACGGGCGTGCAGCCTATGCACACTGCCTTTTGGCCTGGGAGGAAGACAACATTTTGTATTTGCTACACTAATGCAGCTTAGAACCACGCCCCAGATAATCCTGGCTAACTTTCACAACCTGGAAAATGTGGAAAGCAACCATTCCTATTTTTGTTTGTTTTTTATTAAATCTTGCACAAAACCCCAGATCCCTCTCATTCCTTCCTCCGCTCGTGCCTCCCTGTTCTACAGCAGCCTACTCCTGTCCTCACTGCTGGGATTGGTGACCTGCTACCTGGGTCTTCAGACTGATAGCACAAAAAGGGATGGATTCCCTGAGATAGTCCCCCAAGGGGGGAAATGGTGCTTGTTTTAAAAAACCTTTTGAAAAGAAACTGTCGTGTTGCTCTGCAAACACTGAGAGCAGATCCCTGTGTTAAGTCACGTGGAAGTCCAGAGGATGTCAGAACCTGAGGAGACCAGCCAGCAGTACATGCTTAGGACCGTGCTCAGTCTGAGCTCTGGAAAGTTCCTGTGCAGCAAGTATGTCCAGTGAAGCCTAGTTGAAGTGAACCTGCACAAAGAAGTTTGCTTTCCTAATAATCTAAAAATTTTTTTGGCACTTCCCTAGAATGTTCTGCAGCACTTCTTGAAAATCTCTTGCATTGGGATCTCTATTCTAGTCCTGTAAAAACCATTGGCATAGTAAATGGGAGTGAAGTGGGAGAGTCATAGGTGCCTACCTGGAGGACCCCACTCCATGTCCACTGGTTCCATTGCCAAAGCTTCTACTTTGTGCTAATTCATGAGTTGGTTGGATGGTCTTTGTATACATGGATGCTTTGGGAATAAAAAGGCAGAAATCCCCTTGCTCAGTTGTTAGAGTAGTTCATGAGCAAAATCACCAGGTTGTTTCACCCACCCCAGTGGATAAATAGGAAGGATGAAGGCCCCGAAGTGGCTGTTTGGCAGCTTGCCTAGCACACCCTTCCTGGGATATGCTTGGCCCTACACAGGCTCTGAGCTGCCCCTTGTCATGAGCTTTTGAGTCCTTGCCCACACTGTTGCTCCTTTGCTACTTACTATCCCATGTTTTCAACAGCAAAAACAAATTAAATGTTTTAAAAATCTGCTTTTCAGACACATCCCCCCATGCAGATTGACAGCATTCTGAGAATCAGCCATGACCTTTCTGTGTTGTGCTCAGTGGGAACATGCAGGCAGCTGTTCACTGGAATACCAATGGGACATGCTGTGCCTGGTCTCCAGGTGTTATGATTTCACCTTGTTCTCTGAGGGTCACTGCATTTCCTGCTCTGGCATCATTTCTTTTTGATGCCCTAGGTACCCTCTGGCCCTGCTTCCCTCCCAGGTGCTGCAAGAGGTGGGCTGTATCTGCCTTCAGACTGCACATGGTTTCAATAAAAGCAGGCTGGCCTATAGGGCAAAACAGCATTTTTTTTTCCTTTATCACTTTTCTGTCCCTTGAGACTTTACCTCAGAACTCCTAGGAAATAAACTTGAGTACAGCATTTGGAGGTGAAAGGGAGGGACCAGAGAAACAGCTCAGTGGATACCTGCGCTTCTCTCATCACTATGACTTCTTGGTGAAGGCCCCATATTTGCCATGAGACTTCCTGCCCCACAGCTGATTTGGTGTGTGTTGTCACCAGGAAAATACTGTGAACATGGAGCCAGCAGATTTTGGGTATGCTTTGGCTCTGCTCTAACAAGGGGCTGCTGCACTGCAACTTCCTGGTGTCACCTGCACCTACCAGGTAGTTTTGAGCAGTGTCAGTGGAGTAGCCACTGTTTGGGTTGGAATGAGCCTGAGCTTCTGCTGGTGGGTTCTTTTCTCCAGCTGGAGTGAACCGTGCAAGAAAGAGGATAAAGACATTCTTCCTGGGCCACCAAATGTGTTTCAGGAGCAAAAGCTGCCTGATGGCCACACTGCTACAGATGCAGGCACATGCAATGCACAAAGAGGAATAAAACAGGAAAAGGAGCTGGTTTGTGGGCTGGTACATTATTAAGGTCAGATGTGGGACAGCTATAGGTGTCAGGGTCTGTGCATAGTGCTGTATTGGTTACTGGGAGCCTTAGGCCATACCTGTGCAAAAGATGCAAGCTTCTCCCTCTTTGTAGGAAAATGTTAAAATGGATGTACACCGTTTTTATTATTTTCTTATAAATACTCATTGTATTTAGCAAGCCAGGCTAAACATTAAAGGGGAAACCATTTGACAACTTTTAGTATGAACATCTGTGCAAGTGGCATTATCTGCACACCCATGCATGCACACAAAGCCATTTTCGGCTGGTCAGATTGTTAGCATGTGTGATGCCCAGTACTCAGCAGGTGGCCATGGACACTTGGATGGTACCAGCTGCAGCCATCCAGATACGCATGTGTCTCAGGCAGGTTAGAGCCCAAAGCTGGCTGTGGGGAGTCTGGAAGGGGCCTGGGCTTAGATGAGTGTATATCCTGGGAGGCTGGGGAGTAAGTCAGGAGTATGTAGGTTTATCAGGCAAGTGCTAAAGTCAGAGTAGAGACTCTCTCAGATTCAGCAAGCATAAAGGCAGAAGAGCACCAGATAAAGGCCCACACATTGGACGGGAAGCAGCAGACAGAATCTGCTCATACCGTTGCCTTGGGTGGGTCCAGTGGCTCACTCACTGATCAACAGATCCTGCAGGCCAGACTGAGGAAGAGGGAGAAGTTCAGTTTTTAAAAGAATGCAGTTGTAAACCTCAGAGCATCCCCAAAAGAAATTCTGGGAGGACCAGGAAGCAAAATTGGCGGCTTGAAAGCCGTTAAGGTATGTCTGTATTGCCGTTCACTTCCCCACACAGAGCACTCACTCTTACCCACATGGAAGTGTGCTGGGAATTGAATAAGGTCTTTTTCATCACTAATGCCTGGCTCTAAGAGAGGTAGGTGGGTACCACACAGCCTGCTGCATCTGTCAGGCCCTAGACCAGGGCCACCTACATTGGTTGGTGTGTGCAGGGTTCCAACAGTGTGTCTACCACACCAAGAAGCAGGTTTGCCCTGGCTTCCAACTATCCCTAGGTTCCCAAATACCAGGGCTACATGAGCAGCCTGATGTCGGGAACGGGGTACAGAGAGTGTTCAGTGTCCCCATTCCTGCACCACTGAGCATCCAGCAGGGATCACTGTGCACCTTCCAGCAAGCAATACTTAACACAGGAAGAGCCAGCTAGAAGGGAGGCACAGTAACTCTTCAGGCAAGCTCTTCAGCTGGAAGAGGGGTCAAGCCAACATAAGAAATGCATCCATACCTCTACCACCCACCTCTTGCATCTTCTAGGAGTCTCAGGTGTGGTTTTCTGCAAAGGAAGTGATTGCCTTCTCAGTTCCTTCTGACCAGAGCAGGAGAGTCAGTAACAAACCAGTGGCTCAGAGACAGGACAAGCTGCCAGCCGTCTGAGCACACAGAGGGTCGGGTCCTTGGGTGCTCAGAACAGTGTGGCTGCTTTAATTTCTTCAAAATTCCCTGTATATTACTCAGAACAAGCAGTGTAAATATTACTACAACTGACTGTACTTTCATGAAGTTTTGTGGGTTTTTTAAAACTTACATCGGGGAAGCCACCTTTGAGTACACACTGAACTCTACCCAGCATCCTAAGTACATGACTTTTTAATAATGTGTATCTTTTTAAAAGCCTTGGTCATATAACAGATGGTTTTAAAGAATGTGTAGTACCTAAAACAGTAATAGTCCCACATCTACAGCTTTGCATTGAAAGTATTCTATAACCCCATCTCAGTGGAGCCATTCAGAGTCCTCAAGGAAAAGCAGGAAAGTGAGGATGGCTATAACTATGTCTCAATCAGTCTATTCTGCACAATGATTCCAGGCCTTTTGTTGTGGAGAGGTGTGGCTGAAGTTACATTCTACTGTCAGGTCCAAATCCTTGGTTTCTACAGCTTTTGGGGAGTTCAGGGCTGTGTTCAGAGCTATCTAGTATTGTGTAACACTCCACAGAGAACGCCACGTATTTTAGCAATTTCTGATTCTGTGAAATAGGTGAGGAAACATTTAGTCACAGAAGAGTTAAGGATTGGACAATCCAGTACTTCAGGATGAACGGGAGGACCCTTGTGTTCTGTGGATGTGGCAGTGAGCTGAGGTTGCAGGTTCTGTGGTGGAGCATGCAGCTCAGATTCCCCATAAAGAAATGAAGTTTGGGGAAATATAGCTATCATTAGATACGGACAGCCCCCTGCAGCCTGTCATGGTCAACATGCCCTTGGCTCTTTATCCCTTTAGAAGTTAGTTATCACATATTTAGTTTTATTTTAGCTAAGATAGATTATAAAGAACACTAAATTCACTATTGTGTTATGTTTATTACAAAACTTCAAATAAAATGGGTTTAAAGGATTTTAGGATTTACCTTTAGTATTAATGACAGATCTACTGATTTAATGTTAGGATTCAAAAACCAGTTAAGTGATAATTAACTCATGTGGTTTTCCTAAGGTAATATTTATGAAATGTAAAGTATCCAAGTGGCCCTACGACAGTTAGAGTCCTCAATAATCTTTCTCACAAATACACCATCCTAACAGGGTGACTCTCAGTTCAGATGTCAAAGACAAACACTGCCAAACTGCTTGGGAAGCTGGTCCATGAACAAAGGTGTATAGGTGACTTTTGTCTGCTGCAAAAGTCTGAAAAGAATCCAGAGAACCACTACCACCATAGCTAATCATTTCAGCAGTCACATGATAAACATTCAAAGAATAAGTGTATGTCATTTAACTACTATTTAATTCTGTTTTAATGCTAAATGATCATGCTCATCAGACTCAAAACTATGCGCAGTAGAAACCTGAGGCCTAATGAACCAGGTAGATCATATGTCCTGCTTCCCCAGGGTCAGCTGAGGTCTTAGATCTGAATCTGAAAGGCCAGAGCAGTCACCTTCCACCAGACACAGCCCTCTGAACTAAGTACCTCACCCCACACACACACAATTTGACTTTATGGTTCAGACTGAGGCGCTTTTTTTCTTACAAAGTTTGTGATTGAGTATTCATTATAATTGAAGTGTTACTTTGTCAAAATATTTATTCGTGTGACATGCTAGATGCCCATGGATGTAGCTGACTTTTTATTTTGTAAATATTACCTAACTTTACATGAAGTACATCACAATAAACTATTTTTGCATCCTCCTTTGCATGCTGTGTAACAAAGTGTTGATTCATGGAGAGGCATATGCAAAACGTGTTTAGATCACAAGTCAAATTAGCAGCCTGGCAATCGAGTGAGCTGGTTTTCTCTCTCTCTCTCTCTCTCTCTCTCTCTCTCTCTTTC